GAAACTGCCAGTGTGAAAAATGCATGTATTCCACCAAGTAAAAGCTGCTTTTACAATACTCTCACACTCCACGTGTTGGGATGTGTGACTTTTTATTTTTTTTATACCGTGTTTATCTTTGCCTTGGGATTCTTTACCGAGCATTTTTAATTAGCTCGCTTTGTCGATCTGCGCGTAAGCCAGCGAGTGATCTCCGACTAAAATCTGTTCATCAGCTGTGACAGCTAGCATCAGGTTTTCCTGCCGTACCCGGCTAATGGCACCCTGTGGATTCTTATCTAGGCCAGCGTCTTACCCATTCAGCCCACATATTCTTTCCTACACAAACTCACAATTATCTATAGTGTTTGTTGGAAAGCCTGAGGTATTTTTGGCTGATCTCCTGATCCTGTTTGTGATGATTGTAAACACAAGTTGCTCTGTGCGTGTGAGTGTGCACACGTGTCTCACTAAGAATAAAACATAAGCACTCCTCTTGGGTGCTTTCTTTCTTTATTGCAACTCAACAAGCAGCCAAATCAGTGACATTAAAGAAACATATTTTGTCGCAGCTCTGTTTGATGATTTTTCTTTCTTCACCTATAGTTCAGTGATGCAAACTGGGCATTTACACATCACAAAGAGTATTTTCTACTTCACTCCAGCACTTAACCAATTAGTAGACGTCAGTGGTGAACTAGACCTCTCTGACTTTTGTTGCTTAATTGTGTACAACACAGCAAAGCCTTTACCTCTTATGAGCAAATTGTGTTTTTTGGTGTGTATGCGAGGTAATAGTAAAAGGAATCAAAGCGTAGTAGCAAACCAGCAGGTGCTGCTATTCATCTTCTGCACCTATCTGACAAACAGTGTTAGTGCTAGTGAAGACGTTTCCCTGAGAACACAGCTCCGTGTTTGTCATTCAGCTGTGTGCAAACAATATTAAATAATAAAACAAAGCACATTGCCAATTTGAAACTCATCAGTCAGAGAAAAAGTCTGTAGATGCACAATAATCTGGGATTACAGGGTCAAAGAGACATAAAAAAAAACAACCTGCAACAATTTCATGTGACATCACAAAAACATGAAGTGACTCAAATGTACGTTAAGGGATTTTAATTTTACAAGTAAAAACAAATAGATTTGATATGCTGGATGAAAAAATACATGCCTACGTGCACTCTTCGCCAGTGATGGCATCTTGTATTATTATTTTTTTTAATATGTTGTGTTTTTTGTTGACTGATTTGATCCTCCTGAGCACAGATTACGCTAGCCTTGCTAATCCATTCTTCACAGATTATTCCTTTCAACTGCTCTCAGCTGCAAGGTTTTTGTTTCTTTGCCTCCCTCTAAAATGCTCCATGGGTGTCCTATTCAATTCAAGTCAGCCAACAACTACTGCTGATTTTTGCAGTGTGCTTGGGATCATAGTCAAATTAGGGGGAAAAAACCCTCTCCTGCCATTCTTCTTAATGACGGGAGCCAACTTTTTATTCTCTATTTGAACTTGGGTCTATCAAATGAGGCTCCCTGACACCTTTTCTACTCACACAGAGAATGATCAAAACAAAATAATGTTTTTTAGCATTATTCATTAACATGCAATGGTTGTAGTTTTGCATTCAGTTAAAAAACAAAATTCATTTTGGACTTTTTAGGAGGTTGAATTTACAGAATGTCCCTCACAGCAGCAACCTTTGAAAAACCACGTCTTATATATAACTGTTACCCTTCTGTTAGTCTGGTACTTTCTCTCACTTTTATGTGAATATAACAGAATTTCTGCAAGATGGCACAACTTTCAGTTAGCTATCATTTAGTGATTTTGATATGTAAGGATTCTGCAGAAGGCTAAACTATTTTTCTCTTGAATGCAAGAGAAAAAAAACATTCATTGCAATGATCAAAGCATTGCAGAGTGGGACTTGCATGCACGCCTTGGGAGATCAGGTAAAAGTTCATAGGCTCAGTCTTTGCTCAATCAAAGCAAAGTTCAGTATATGAACAGTCAGTTCAACCTGGCAAACAAAACACACGGGCACATGGGAAGACTAACACGAGGCAAAGAGTGCTGAAATGGTTGGCACATGACTAAGACGATCTGGCAGAGGGCGAGGGAAGCACACATAGCTTGAAGGCAAAGAGGAGGGGAGACAGCGGAGCCGGCCAGGTAAACACATGGGCGGGTCGCGCACAAGGGCAAGAAGAGAAGGAGCTGAAGTGAGAAATTTAGGGGAATACAAAATATAACAGGGCTAAACAGAGAGTCGGACACAAATGAAATACAAAGTGAGTTAAATGTATCTTAGGAGGTTTTGAAAGACAACAACAGACAAAATATTTTGTATGGGATTCGCTTAGTTTTGGACAGGGGAACAGTGTCTTGGGATATGCTGTAGAGCACACACACAGGCAAAATAAAACCTTAAGTAGCCTGTGGAGCTTCACAACCTGGCCTGCAAAGTCCTGAAAGGAAAACTAAGCACTAAAAAAAGTAAATGGAAACTGCTTTATGCAGCTAAATATTTCAACAGTACTCATATGTGATGCATATCAAAATACTGTCAAAACACATGCTCATATAAATTTGGATTTGTGTTTTTTTTAGCCACCCTGTGCTGTAGAGCTGATGGGAGCGCTGGGATATCAATATTCCTTTTTGCCACTGGTGGCAGCACTGAGCCAAAAAGCAGAGGTCCAGAGTGAATCTTTCCCAAATATCATGTCTTCATTTAATATTGATTTAATTGACTGGAAGATATTCTGCAGACATTTTGCTGTCTCTGCTTACTTTCCTCAAAGTATCTTTCTATGGTAAGTTATTTGAGAGCTAATGGGTGGCGAGCTAATGTTAGTGTGTTTAGAAGAAGGCTCAGAACAGACCCACTAAAGTAAAGTCGGCTAACTAAAGCTAGGTCAGTAAAAAGCAAATGCGTGCTTTGAGACATGTAGACACACCGCCACATTATTAGGTACACCTTGTTAGTAGTGCCTTGGACCACCCTTTGCTTTCTGAACTGATTCAGTTCTTCATGGCATAGATTTAAACTGTGTAAATTATAGCCTGAGCTAACAGGAGCGGCATCCAGTGTGGGTCTTTTGCTGCTGTAGCCCATCTGTTTCAGGGTTGGACGCAGTGTTGCCAACTCCTCAGTAAGGAAAATCGCTATTGGCTGTCCTAAAAGTCGCTAGAAGTCGCTAAATGACGTCATCACCTAATTTGCATAATTGGTCATGCTAATATAATTGTAACCTATGCTGTTGGAGAGAGAAATAACATCGTGGAAGAGACATAAAGTGAGCAAAAAACGTCCTAAATGCATTTAGAATTTATTTAGAACAACAAATTAAATTTCTTTTAGCTATCCGAAGTCCGGATAAAGGAGCACGGTTGGAATTGTTTTTTAATGTCACAATTCCAACCGTGCTCCTTTATCCGGACTTCGACCGGCAAAAGTGACCCGAAATAGGGGCTCTGGTGGAGTTACTTTGTGTGTGTGTGTGTGTGTGTGTTTATAAGTAGTTTTAAACCTTGTGATCCACAAAACAGCATAACAGTAAAAGAACTCAGTGCGGGAGCAGCGGCTTCGCTCATGCGCGGTTCATTTGCAGTTTGGACGCAGGTGTGAACATCTCTTGCAGCTGGGGGAGGACTATCCTCCGCCCGTGAGCGCTTTAGCACGGGTGAGGTGCCCACGGCAGCACCGCTGCTTGTTGAGAGTAAGAGCAACACGCCCTTTCACGTCAAAAAGTCGTCACAAATAAGTCTCCAATGCACCAGAAAAAGTAGCCAGATTTGTCGCTAGTCGCTTTTTAGAAAAAAAGTCGCTAAGGGGGTCTGAAAACTGCTAAATATAGCGACAAAGTAGCTAAGTTGGCAACACGTACTTTATATGGAGTAATATGAGCGACTGTCACTTATGTCACCGTTTCTCTCATTCTCACGCTCGCTTTGAACTTCAGGTCATCTTGACCAGATGTCTAAATGCTTTGAGTTTCTTCCCTGTGATTGGCTCATTATATATTCTCATTAACAATCAGTTGACCACGTCTACCTATTGGAGTGACCAGTAAATGTGTACGTCCCGTGACCTTGCAAGGTGTTTATTTGGATTAGTTTTTGCTTTTGGAGTTTCATTGAGAAAGATCAGTGTTTTGATTTGGTGTGTAAATCTAATTATTGTGCTTTAAATTTAAAGCTAATTGTATGACAAAATAGAATTTTGTTGTATTGTTTCATTTCTTTGTTTCATCTGAGTGTCTTTGCAATATTGCTTTTTACCAGTCACGTGGTTTTCCAGTTGTCCTCTCCCGTGCTTCTGGTCATCAAATAGTTTTCTTCTTCATTTTTACCTTTAGCAGAAGTGAAACTTACAATCACACATGATAAAACCGTTTTTTGTTTTATAAGAATGTATGCTAAGATGTATTTTCATCTTTTCTTCATAGAAAGCCTGCACTGTTTAACAAAAATTTGGCAAAAATGTTAACTTTTAATTAATTGCAATTGATTGTAATTTTTTTTTAGTTCTCTCTCTCTATATATATAATTTTATGTTTTAACTTTTTTCAATGTTAAAATTTTCTACTTTTCTATTGCTGTAAGCTTGCCATCATTGTGTTTGTAGCTATTGACTGGACTGGATGACCTTCACCTTGAGCTTTGGCGGAATGTCTTTTAAGCATTTGCTCGCATTTAGAAAGGAAGCAATTGATTCATTGAAAAAATAATGAAAATAACCTTTAGCTGAAACCCATATCAGCTGAATTGTGACATTTCAGTTTGTTCCCCATTCTGCTTTATTTATTTATTATTCAGCTTCAATTTCTCTTTGAGTAAAAAAAAAGAATTAATTAAATAAAATAAATAATTCTGACTTTCTGAGCAGCATAAAGAGAAGTCAGCCACTAGAGGCTGCACTAGCTAAGACACAGATACAAGGATCAATAGTAAGAGAGAGAGAGGCACAGGAGTCAGTGGAGAAACAGTAAAAAAAAAAGAGAGAGATGGTGGTAGCATGCAGTTCAGCTCAGCAAGAAAGAGTGACAGAGTGAGGAGATAGCGGGGGTGAGCATCGCAGCAACTGACAACCTGAGAGAGAGAGAGAGTCTTAGCTTACTAAAGAGAGAGAGGGAGAGAGAGGAGTACCACGTTGCCCGTCCTCATATTTCCCTCTGCAGCTGTGTGAAGCAGAGTGAGCAGTGGAGAGGAGCGAGCACATCTGAGTCTCGTGGAAACAGCGGGACCCGCGTACCACTTGGCTGAGAGATCGATGCACTTACGCCGAGCCACACAGAGGGGGTGAGCCGCCCGCAGGACATCCGTGCACTACCAGAGAGGGAGCGAGAGAGTAGCCAAAGGGACGGAGAGAGTGAAGAGAGCAAGAGGGGAGAAGATTACCCAGGGCCAATTTGAAAGCTTTCGGCTTGTCACTCAGAGCAAGGGTGAGTTAACTTGTGCTTGTGTGGAGTGGCAGTACATGTTCTGCAGGTACATTGTGCTTGTGACAAGTGTGTGTGTGTGTGTGTGTGTGTGTGTGTCAGTCCTATATCTTCACCAATGCACAGAGTTTCTGCTGTCCTGTTTCTTTTACCCCCCTCTGTTTTAGCAAAGTGCATCACTTGCCAGAGCATGTGACTTACAGTCATCTAGGCAGGTGATTAGCTCTGGAACCTCATTATCAATCAAGCCGTTATCACGCAGAGCAGAGAGGAAGACTACAATAGGTTCTTAACGACCCCCCTCTCACCGGTTTGTGCGTTGCATGAATGCGTGCGTGTGTAGTCGAAGTGCATCTCGGTGTGCTGTTGAATCCGTTTATCCTACCAGGCAAAGGTGTGCGCCTGAATAGCAGCCACGTGAGCCGTTTAATACGGGTTATTATAAAAGCTTGCTTTGAGAAAATTAATTAGAGAGCCTGATGCCGTTCAGTGTAATTTGTCACGTCTGTCAGGAAAAGCTGCCGGTTTGTTCATTTATCACGTCAGTTATGGAAAAAGAAAGCCCCCCCAAAAAACACAGATTTTTTTGGTGAAATTTCTTGATGATCTTTTAGGAAATTACTTTCAAACAAAGAACAAACTTAATTAACATGAATAAGGGTTAATCTAAAAAATAAAAAAAGACATCTAATAAATTTGAGCTGTGCTGTAATCATATTGCAATATTTTTAAAACTTGGTGAGGTAAATCCTGTTTTCCCAAGCCTGTCATATGCCTGTAGCACTGTGCCTTCTTGTGGACTTCTGCTTTCTTAGGTTAATTAACTGTCTTTCCAGTTCAGATAATTCAGTGACTTCAAGCTGCACTGACTTATTATTAGACATGGTGACATTTAGAAAATTGGTCTATGTATGCACCACCTCTCTCTGCGTTCTCATGTTGTACCTGCCTTGTAAATACCACGCCATGCTCGATCTATCCCGTCATCCATCTGCCAGCGTCTCCGTTCCGCTTTGAGTCCCCGTTCCTCTCCCGTTCCCATTCCGCCTCTCCCTCACTGCTATACGGTGAAGGTTATTGCCATATATTGAGTCGGTTTAATTTGTCAAAGTCGTCCAGACATATTGTCCACGGTCGGAACGGGAGGAGAGGTTGGGCGGTTCAATTGACACGATATTGTACGGAACTTGACAAGAGAGTGACAGAAAAAAAGAAAGGCAGGTGCAGTTAGAAGAAGGTGGAGAGAAATGTGCTGGTTAGGTTTTCTTGTCGACACAAAAGCTGAGCAGTTCATTTCTGAGGTTTTCTTTTTTTTT